ATCTTAGGAAAACAGAAAGAGGAGTGGGAGGGGTCAGTCTGGGGAAAAAAATGCTCAGTGTTTGAACGATAAATAAGAGGAGGTGGAGCACTGAAATGCATCTCCTTTTGCTTCTTATCACTCACCCGCATGCCATCATGCACCGACGCAAATCTGGCAGACAAAACGAACACACCCACAAAAAGGCAGTCATGTTTCAGAATGAGATGATAATTTAAAATCTTTTCAGATCAAAGACCGATATGCACACACACACACAAGGAGCAGCACACATACTTAAAGGAGTCAGTGTTAAGCAGGCGAAGCTCCGACATAAAGCACAAGCAACGCTGCTAGGACGACGCCTGAATGGGTGATTCATCTGGACCGCGGCAGGCCCTAATCAGATAGCCGTGGGCACACTGTACGCTTCATCCGCATCAATGTGGCCACTTGTCCTTTAGGAATCCACTCTAAATCACACTTAATAACTCGACATTGTCTTCTCCATTATGCCTGTTTGGAAGTCAATATAGCTCACTTTGTGGGTTGTGACTATGTTGACTCTCTCCAAATAGAATAACGAAGCTAAACACAACAAACCAAAAGACTCCAAGCTAAAGGAATTGATTTCCTTGCTTTCTTGAGAATTGCGTTTTGTTTTGTTTTTTTGTCATATTTTGAACTTTATGCAGGACTGTTTTTTATAATGTATATCGGGTTATGATCCCTGAGTTTTGACTTGTTTAAACTTTAAATGAATACTACCTGAACTTTCATATTTCTGTCATGCAATGACCACAATAAAACCCATTAGGATTTCAAGTGATGGACGAAAGGCGACTTAAAATTATCAAGTTTAAAGAAAATTATTCATGGTTTTCAAAAACTCCAGACTTCTGGAGCATGTTTCAACCAGCTTTGCTCGAAGTGGAGTTCACAGAACAAATGTGAGCAACACTTTTCCTATGTAAATAATAAATTTAGATTTATTAGATTCAAGGTTATTACTCAAATATACATGAAAATATTTGAGTAGAAACCATTCAGTTGCAGTTTTAGCTTTATGATGAGGTTTACTGTTCTGCTGGAAGGGTATTGTTAGCCTTTTGCTTCCTCTAACAGGGTTTCTTACAATTGTCCTGTGTTTAGCTTGTGTCCTGCTGCTCTTCCATAGTGACCAGATATTTTGGAGCACATGCCTAGTAGTTGTCCTGTTGATGTGTCATTTCATCTGGGTTGTAGCTCCTCCATTGTTTCCATCTGCCTCTCGGTTGCTCCTCTGATTAATAACGACATTTTAGTTTAGATGAACATCTGTGACTGTAATTATATTGTTTCCATTCCATTTGTTGGATGACGGGTTGAGCAGATATCTATGACATTAAGAATTTTACTTGTAACAATTTTGAAAACCATGTATCATTTTCTTCCCACTTCACAATATGCTACTCACCAAAATTATGTGTGGTTGTTGGATGACAAAAAGTGAAACGGTTCCAGAGACGTTAACACGACAACGAGGCACTGAACAGATTTGTGTCTTTGGACTAAACTGCTGACTTCTCTGGTCTTTTCACTTAGGCTTATGCAGAACAAAGCAGAGTTATCGGAAGGAGAGGATGATAAATATTACAATACGGACACAGTGTTCCATCTCACTGCCGCCTTTGGCATTTGTAGTGCTGTATTAGTAATGCAGAGACTCAAACTAAGATGCATTCAAGTGAAAACAAACAAGTTCAAGGAAATTGTTGTCCTATCTCTGCAAGTCATGGTTCTTGAATTTCTTCAGAGGGTGAAGTGTTTTTAATAATATTAATATTTCAGGATTGGAAGCAGTTGCTTGGCTTCCCAGCCCTGCTAAGAAATGGAGTTCAAAAGAGTGGAACAGTAAAGAAAAGTCCAAGTCTCAGCTGTCCGTACACATTTTAAACTCGATGGCACGGTTTTTCTTGCAAGTTGTCAGAAATTTCTCTGCTGGTTTCGGTGTCCAACCAAAGCGTTCTCAAGCCTTGTGATTTATGACCTGACAGCTTGTTTGTTTGTTTTTCGTAACAAGTCGGAGGCTTTTAGGCAAATCTCAAGAACCCCTGCTGTGAAAAACAATTGCTAGAAGACAAAACAAAAAAAAACCCACTGACACATTTTTGCACACTGGTTCAGATATTTGGACTCCCTAACAGCTACAATTGTGGTTGTCACTTTTTTTGATTACTTGAGGACACTTTTCTGCATACACAGCCATCAATGTACCGGTGGATAAAGGATGGCGATGTTACTTTGTTCCCTTCTGTTGATAGCTCGCATACGGAAAAGTTTGAAATGTATGTATTGATTTAAAAAATGCACATGTGGTTGCCAACAGTGGCTGTCTGTGTGTCACTGCTCTGGTAACAGACCAAAGGTTGCCAGGTCTGCAGAGAAGGATGCTGTTTGATGAATAGGATTTAGCTGATTCTCTGACTCTGAAATCCTCCCGCCCCCTGTAGAAGTGCTGGATTTTCAGCTGCAGTCATGCTACAGGATTAGACCGTACTCTGCTCTGTCAGCTTCAAGTACTTACTGCAATATTTTTAGTCAGATTGACAGAAAGAATAATACACTTAGCCTCTCAGGTTTGGAGCTAAAGTTTGAAGGTGTTTTTGATAGTTGCTATTAATCTACAGTTTCCCTGCAGAGTTGGTTTATTCGGAGGTTGAGCTTTTACATGTTTGTTCTTTTTGCTTGCTGCTTATCGACAATTCAGTTGTATGGAAACAACTACCTTTGTGTCATGTTTTAGCCATTAATGGCACTTCAAAGTTGATGGACTTTTCATAGCCTTTGCATATAGTCAATCCTCATTGGGGCCTATTCTGTCTGTAATTTGAAGTGCTTAGACTTCTTCAACAATACTAAGAGCGACACCCCAATTGGGCAAGAAGAGCTGGGTTGGTTGAAATGTGTCAAACTGTTTCACCTTCAGTGTATTGACCCTCATAGGCCTCATAATACTTACCTATTGTGGTTCATGAGAGCAGGTGATGGGCCAGAATATTTCTGAGGTGAATCATATATGTGTTTAGTGTTGCATTTAGGGTTCAAGCACTGGCAAAGCTATGGATTTATAATTGGAGTGCCTGTAGCTTTAATCTGCTATCTCAGTGCAATGCTTAGTATTGCTGCCTCATATTAGGTTTGTCAGTCAGCTCTTCCCTGCAAGTTAAAAATGTTGTTCCAGTTCAATGTAAACATATTTGTTTGTATGTTCAAACGGTTGTTTGGCTTAAAATTTTTTAGACCAATCCTGATTTTTGGTGAAAGTGCAATGCAAAGTGCAATATTTTTACGTCAATTAGTGTTTAGTAAGGGTGCATAGGTGGTTACTTTCTAGGATTTGTCTTTCCAAAGTCTTTGTTCTTGAAGTCAGAAGTGAGGTGATGCTGATTATTATAGTGCAATACGCTTCATTTGCCTCCAAATTGGGCTTCACACGTAAGATATCAACCTATAAAGTATGGAAAGACTTAAGGTCACCTGATGGCTGCTTTTATAAATGCAACAGTTCATTATATTTACCTCAATCACTCCATAGGAATGTTTCATGGTGGCTGGAAAGAGTAGGTTGGAGTTTAAAACAGAATCAATGAGCAGCCAGTCCAGGAACTGATTTCCTCTCCTGTTTAATGTTTTAGCGGTTACCATTGCATCGCAGGTGCTGGTGTGTAGAGTAACCTGTCTGCACTCCATATGCAAATTGTGCTGCATCATTTCAGCTGTAGAAAATGTTCATTCTTGATGCATGAACAAAATAAGTTAATCCATAAGCCATAGACTGGAAAAAGTATCACTATCTTTTCTTTAAACATTACTTCATTGAAAACACCACAAGTGCAAACCTGTGAATCATGCTAAAAATGTAAACTGAAGATGATTCATGTAGATATTTATTTCTTTTATGTATGTTAATCAGATTGATTATTTTTGACTGCATTTATTTTACAGTTTCTGTAACAAATTGACGGATGTGACGAACCATGTGGCGAATTCCTTCTTTTGCTGATTTTTATTAAAATAAATATATTCTCCCATAAGAATGCCTCGGCTGTGTCCACATTTATCGATGAACATTGTCACTGCACATATGAAGACAGATTTTCTGCCTGGACATTTGGGAGTTTCTTTGGGAAAACATTGCAGATTTTTCATTTCACTTATTTTGTTGGTTTCTTTCACCGGCAAAATACAAGGGACCACAAAACTATGACATGAAAATAAAATGGTTGTCTGCATGAAAGATCTGTCATGTGTAAAGGACTCTGGTTTCTTTTGGGATAAGTGTCCAAGTTTGAATAAATAAAGACTGCAATTTGTGGTCCACTCTTACTTGCAAAATAGCTCCCATTCAGTCAGACCAAATGGAAAATGACTGGGGGGAGAAACATGGTAAAATGTGAATGTCTGGCAGTCCAATCATAATTGGATGATTATTCATCATCCAATCAGCTGACTGGTTTCACTATCCCAACTCGGAGACAAAAATGTTAAATTATCTAACATTTTTCATCCACTTCACAATTCTGTACTTTCAGATGATCTCACATAAAATTCAATGCGGGACTGAATATTTCTGTCAGTGTTGCCAGCAGTCTATAAGAATGTCTATGTAGAATGAAAATTGTAGTTGAAATGTGGAAAACGCATTCATGTAATTTTGCGATCGGCTGGCATTTGCACTTGCTGACTGACGCACCTTTTCCAGTGCCACCAAAATAGTTTTATTTTGCAGTTGAATGTGAATCTTGTTTTACTTCACACACACACACACTGCAGGAAGAGAAGATTTTCCTCCTCTGCGTCCCGATCAGTGATCTAATCACTTCTGCAGCGGGAGGCCAGGCATCATCTGCCCAAGAACTCCTTCATTAGCAGCGTATGACCTGAGATGAAAACATGATTGCAATCAAGGATGGCATTTTCACTGCGTGGACGTGTCGCATGGCCGAATCACGAGCGGAACCGAGCGCGCGCTCGGTGCCCAACTCCCTCCACCACAAACACACACAGAGGCACATAACCATCCATCCATCTTCAACAGCTGGAGGGAGGCGGGGGGTGGCCTGCGAGGACGCGCCTCTCTCCTCTCCCTCTCTGTCTTTCTACCTAAATGCGCTGCTGCTCCGTGCGCGTTCCCGACACGGAGGCAGGCTTGCGGGGAGCTGCGAGAGAGAGCAGACGAGCGGCTGCGGGGGAGAGAGAAAGATGGAGGTGAGGGTCGGGGAGAGACTCCTGTGGCTGGCCGTGCTGTCCACTGTCCTCTGCGTGGATTCGGTCTTCGGAAAATACGTCAAAGGCATCGTCAACACCAAAGAGGTGAGGGCAGAATGTGTTTCTCCGCGCGCTGCTGACTTGAATGCAGGTGTCACTGAGCCGCACTGTGCTACGTTTCACGCCCAAGTTCCCTCTTCTCTCTCGGTCGCTGTCGCTGGAAACGCACTCGGCTCCTCCGTCGAGCCGCTGCGCGCTGTCTGCGGATGTGTCGTACAATGTAGCCGTATTGTGACCGCACGGGGTCCCTCTGGTCCAGCAGTGTTTGCCTGTCTTTAATTAGCGGCTGAACGTCAGGAAAGCCTCTCCTGTCTCCTGGTCTGTAAATTAGATGACCCGTCACAGGTGTGCGTCATATTTGTGCTTGCGCGCAGCTTTTGGTTTGTGTTGGAGCTCAGAAACTAAAGCCTGGTCCAGGGTCTGAGGTCTGTTGTCGCACAGATCAGCATCACATAGAACTGTAACTGAGCAGCTATTACTTTGTAATTCATGTTCTTATTATCCTCCACTCCGCTTTCAGGTTGAACATAATTAGCCCTCTCTGCTCATGCCACAGTAATGTGGTTCGTAGAACTTGTGGTTTTAATTCCGGAGACAAAAACACATGACATTCTCTTTCAGTCAGTCAAATCAACAGCATGTATAAGTCTGAAGTGAAACACAAACGCTATACTCTGCTGGAAGTCTTGCTCTCTCTCGCTCTTTGGCAGCATGTTTCATTATGTTGCAGAAAATTTTGTTTGTATTCTTCCCTCAGTAATGACTCAGTATAATTCAGAAAGTTTTATAGGTATGATATTTTGATTATATCTACCGCCACAATTTACTTAATAACTATTATAAATGTGATGTTTACAAACACATTTTTATTGGAATTCTAAATTTAACTGTGAGCGTTGCAGGTCGACTTTTACATTTTCTGGGGACCGTGCTGGAGTGTGTCTGTTTTCCTCAAGTGATGGCTCCTGCAGGAAGTTCTTGGGAAAATGCAGAAATAAACTCTATGCATTTTGTTTTCGTTTTTTTTTTTTTTTTAACCAAGCCAGGTTGGATTCTCTTCTGTCTGTCTTCTCTGTACCTCACTTGTCTCTTGTTCATTGCTTGATTGTGAAGCACCAGCACCCACTGCAACCCTGACGGATTAATCCCTTATTGAAAAACGGACAGATGGTGATTAGTGGACTAATTGTTTCAGATACAATATTATTTTAAATGATGTGTTCACACTGTGTGGCGCAGACACAGTATCGTGTGATACTGAATTGACTGTTGACTGGAATTTGTGTTGCGAGTCTGACTGCATTAATCACAATTTTTATTTTTTAGTTCTTTGCAGAATTTTGAGCAAGTGATAGTTTTACAAATTATCCTCAAAATTAATACATGAAATGTAAGTCAAGTTAAATGTCTATTTCAAAAAGACAAAATGATAAGGAAGTTGATATTCCCTTGAAATGGTTGATTCTTTTGTTCACTCTCAGATTTCCTTATCTGCTTCCTTACCAGGAGAAAAAAAGTACCACTTTGTGGTATTCCTCTGAACCTTCCTGGTGTCTTTTCCTCTAAAAATCTTGCTTTCTCTCACTTCCTTGCACCATGAATGAACCATTTAAGTAGCTTACAACATCCTTTTTCCTAACTTTTAGTCCTCTTTCTCGAGTAACAAATTGAACAAGAGAGAGTACTGTTGTTACTTGGATGTGGTAATGTGCAGGTTTTATTTGTTCACTGATTCAAAGGTTAGATTTTGCGGTTTCTTTGCTGCCAGCTACCTGTCAGTCTCTCAAGCTATAAATAATAGCTAATTTCTCTGTACATCTTTACATTAAAGTCGTCCCCAAAGCACCAGTGTTGTCTGTCCTACTGACCTATCAAGTTGCACCAACATGCTCTGATTATTTTGTCACTGACATCAGATTGCCTGACCTCTTGACGTTAATAAACCTGAAAATCAGACCAGCTGCGAGATTGATCTGACCAGTTTGAATCCCCTGGATGGTGACAGACATCTGAACAGATAAACAAAGAAAGAGCCGTTTTTCCAAACACCACAGCTGTTGACATGCCCTTGAACACAGACTGAATCTGCACCTGCTCCAGTGGTGCAGCACAGTGGTCATGCGGCAGAAGGTAGCACTGGGCAACTTCCAAGACGTGTGTGTGTGTGCGTGTGTGTGTGTGTGTGTGGGGGTGTGTGTGTGTGTGTGTGTGTGTATGTGGGTGTGTGTGTGTGTGTGTGTGTGTGTGTGTGTGTGTGTGTGTGTGTGGCTGAGTGAGGGCAAGTGTTTAGTTCCTCAATAAAAGGACAGCCATCTATTCTTCCAGAACTCTGCAGTAAAGATTTTATCTGGATATGCCTGACTACAAATGGACAGTGTTTGTGACAAAATCCCACAGATCTTAGCCTTTCATAAAAAAAAAACACATGAATTTTAATTAACTGGATTTATATTTGTGCATATACATAATATTTATGTTTTTATTTATTGAAAACTGTCTGTTTTAAACCCTGCAGAAAAGCTTAATTTGGCAGAATCTGCTCTGCTGCCTCTGATTTCTCCATTGTCGTACATCACAGAGACTCCTGCTGATTAGAGAATTTTGAGCAGGAAGCATTAATTATGATTTATTTATATACTGTTGTTGCAGTATTCAGGAGGTTATCTCCAGAATCCAAATATTTGATTCAGACCTCATTGCTTCTGTTAGCATCCTGATTAAAATTGCGTGAAAAGCCTTGAAATGTTTTTCTTGTTTATTGCAGTAGCATAATTTCTCAGAAAATATTGCTGTGCTTTGGAGATTATTTTTTTAATTTGCCCTTCCTACTTTGTGTGTTGGCAAGATGAACTTGGCTTCTGTCCACCAACCTTGTTTTATTTTTATTTTATTTTTATCACACTTCCAGTCATTTTTCATTATTGGCCTGATTGCAGATTTGGAAATCGAGTGGGAAACAAGAGCAGTGTGATATGATTGTTAAATTTTAGGATTAAGTACTATTCTCTCTTTATTCCATAATCACAATGTGATGTTTACCAAAGTGTATTTCAACTATAGGACTAAAAACAGTTTCTATATATCCAAGCAGACCAACATATTGCTGGCAACCAGAATTTTAACGCATCGACTCCTAAAATGTAATTGTTGACCAAAAAATGCATCTAAGCAATCATTTGGAACTGGACAAACAGCTGGGATTCGATGTATTGTCCACCTCTACTCTGAAGCGTCAGCACAGCAACAAACGTACCCCCTGAAAGTTGCAGTGTATCATTACCATTCCACACCTGTGAGGCTTCCCCTTCCATTTATTTTATAAGAAAAACTCCAGAAAAAAGGCCAAATAGCATGTCTTTGCTGAGTGGGAGGTAAATGGTCTGCACTTAGCCAACCCCTTTTAACCTTCGTTAGGTTCCGCAACGCACTGCAGAAAGGGTTTTCTGTCACTCATTCACACAATTGCAGAGAAGAGTGGAGCTGCCTTACAAGGCACTTCCTTTGTATTTTGGTTTCAGAGTTTTCGAAGCTGAAAGATGCAGGGATGTTGAAATGCCAAGCAACTGATTAGATGACAGTACTCTTTGCTACACGGGTCCCTCTGCCTGCAAAATTTGCGACAAGATTTATCTAGAGGGAAACAACTTTAAATCAATATTTAAATTGTTTTTTGTTCTCCGCGCTAGCTAGCTTTCAGCTTTGCTATATTCTGGAAATATAGGAACAGTTTTTAATAGATTCTGTGTCGATCAGAGCTACGACTACATATATTAATACCTCAGCACTCAATAACAGACTCTCTCATGTCTGTGTACTGGTTGACATTCATAAGGAGAGACATGTTAAAGGGACAGAGAGAAAAGACTCATGTTGGCAAAAAAAAACCAAATCTCTACTTCAGAGTAGAGTTGGACCAACTCATGATTCTTTAAAACATGTCAGCAGCTTTTAAAGAGAACTTAGTTTCTCCTCAGAGAATGGTGAAAGTCTGTCAAGGCACACGCTGAGTCAAATACCTCAATTGCTTTTTGACTTGAAAGCATTCAAGCCACTTCACAAATTGTTCATCCTTTAATATTATTTGGCTCATGAATAAACCAGAAATCCATGGCTGGTGACTAGAATGGACAAATTTTCAGCCCAAATGACCCCTCCTTGGCAACTGGACACTGAAAAAAGAATCAAATCTTTTTTCAAATGAATCAATATACCATGCATGAACACTACCACTTTGCTCTGACTACCCTGATCTTCAATGTAGAAGCTGGCGCTGAGTGTGAATAACACAAAATGTGGTATTTTCTTTCTGTATTAATAAGGTGTTAAAAATATTTTGTCAGAGAAACGTCAGTATTTAAAATGGAACTGTATTTTCCATGACATGTCATGCGGTAAGATGGAAAGAGCAGATAACAGGAAGGCTAAGTAGAGTTCAGTGTCATTGTCTTTGAACTTTCAAACTCTTTCTGAACAGTATTTCTGCACTGAAACAGTAGTCTCAATGCAAAATACGAATTTTGTTTCCCCCAATTTTTTTTTTCATTTTAATTCAAATATTAGTACAAATTTTTCTTTAAGATTAAAGTTGTGCTAATGCTATATATACACTTGATATACACATGTTTTGTGTTTATTCTTCCCTCCTCACCTTGTAAAAATCAGCATTTATTTACAAAGTCACGTCACATCACAGGTGCAATAGCTATTCATCTGTATGCAACTCATCAACTATGTTGAAAAATTAGCTTTTGCTTATGACTGAAGCAAAAAAAAAAAAAAGGTTATAGTTACTGCTGCTCCTACTTCGCTCCCTCTTGGTCCTGTTTGCTTCAGGGTAAGAGAGCTGTCTCCCTTTTCTAAAGGTCGAGTATTATCAAGGTTTCCAGTGGGTAGCTCTGTTTAGAGCTAAGCTTAGATCCTTGAAAAAGTTTGGAAGTGACAGAAGAAGACTCGAGAGGATTTGTCTTTTAAGAAACAAATGTTCATCACTGTCCTCTGAAGTCTTGAATGCACAGCAATGTGAATCCATGTAGTTTAACGCCTCA